GAAAAAAAGTGGGTGCGTACAACTTTTTATTACGCACTGTATATGTATGTAAATTTTTCAAACAAATTGTATATGTTAATCGACATTAATAACTGACCTATTGCTAGAAATAATATACAGAACGGTTGCTTTATAAACAATTGAAATATTAAACCGAAAAGTTAGTCATACCGTTGTGTCCGAATATTTTTGGTAATTACTGTAGATATCACTCATTTTTAGAACGCACTAGAATGAACTGTTTTACGAAAACAATTGCTACGGACAACCAAATGACTCTAGTGGGTACAAACTTGTATCGAAGGCGTATCACACGTTCACCTACCGTCTCTCCAAGTCCCGCGTCCCAAATGTTTATAGATCGAACGCTATGTTGCCAGTCTTATTACTTAATTTACACACCTCGTAGAAGGTACGATACATATACTAAAGTTAAGTTTTATTTTAATTTATTTCTAGATTTGCGGTAAATCCTTTTTTTTGTATTGTATTATACAATCACATCCCTAACTATGGTAAATTTATTACTTTCCACGTCCCACACTTTATACTCATTCGATTCATATCCGACTAGAATACCTTTCCAAGACTTTTCTTCGAATTTTGTTTGTCTTGTTTTATTATGTATATAGATTTTGGAACCGAAAATTTTTAAATACTTTAATTGAGGCTTTTTATTATGCCACAATTCATATGGTGTTTTTGACTCTTTTAAAGCCTTAGTCGGGATTAAATTTATCAGAAACGTAGCAGTAAGGACGGTTTCACCCCAAAAAACCTTTTCTAAATTTGCCTCAGCAACAATTGCACGAGCCCTTTCGATTATTATCCTTACCATACGTTCCGACACACCATTTAACTGTGGAATTCGAGGAACTGTTAAGTGGTAACTAATACCCTTTTCAACAAAATATCCCTTCATCTCGTTTGACAAATACTCTCTCCCGTTAACACAATACAAATTCACAATTTTTAAATTAAAATGAGCTTCACTCTTTGTTACATAGTCTCGAAAGACTGAAAGTACATCTGATTTATGTGTGATCAGGTACATAACACAATAGTGAGTGAATTCGTCTACAAAAAGAATAAAATAATTTTTGTCATTAATTTTCGAAGGAGTGATTGGACCACAGACATCTGAATGTACTATAAACAATGGTCGTTTTACATGACTTTTGTCTTTTGCATTTCTGAACGGTAATCGTGCTTGTTTTCTCTTTATACAAGCTTCGCATAATATATCATGAACTTTAACTTTTTCTAATTTGCTCATGTCTAAAAACATTTCTTTATACTTTAACTCTAAGAATTTTTTTTCCCCCGATATGACCTAATCGTTGATGCCATAATTCATAATTACAGGTTTCATTTAATAGTATCGTTGAATTTACATTATTTGAACAAACCGTAAATTCTATACCAGTTAAATTGTTCAGTGGCTTACCTGATATGATGACCTTACCACTTTTGACTATTTTGACGCCTTCTTTGTCAAAAATTACAGTCATACCAGCCTCTTAGATATGACGGACCGACAATAAATTGTATGGCACATCTGGGCAGTAGTAGGACCTCCTCGATTGTACCTGGGATGCCCATATTTGTAGTTATCTGCAGCGAGCCCCTTTTCGTCGTTGCGATGCAGGTCCCGGTCTTTGCCACGGAAATTTTGATTTGTTCTTCCAAAACTTCGAAATTCCTTGCCAAATCCTGTCTATTGATTAGGCGATCCGATGCACCCAAATCGAGCAGGAACATTATTTTTCTTCCGTCATTTCCTTGGTGGAAGTTCCCAGCCATAAATGCAAAGCTGGAGGTATTGTCCTTCAATGTAGACGGTGTCTTTTCCATGTGCACCGTCTGTACAGTTTTATTTTGCTCAGCTTGATGCTGATGCTGTACTGTTCTTTTACAATAAAAACAGTCTTTTTTCATGTGACCTTTCCTGCTACAGTGATGACATTTTATTACATTCGATTTCAACGATTGAAATTGTCGTCCTTTTAATTGTCCTTCCTTCCTCTTAAACACTTTCGTACTGCCGAAGTTTATTTTCTTCCGAACTTTATTTGCTTGAAGTACCTTCAGACTATTATCACGCGACTCGTCATTTAATTTGACTTCATGATCAAGAAGTTGAGTCATAACGATCGCCAGCGTTAAACTATCCTCTGATAGAGTTTCAATGGCGGTTATCACGCCGTCATAGGAGGTAGGTAATGTTAATAATAAGTGAAACACCTTGTCTGTCTCTTCAAGTCTTGCACCCGCTGCTGCAAGCTCCGACATAATGTCATCAAACACTGTAAAATGTTTCACTAGTGGTGCATCTTTTTGTAACTTTAGTGTTAACAATCTTTTCCTTAATGCTAATTGAGTAGCAAGGCTTTTTTGCTCATAAATCGAGTCCAAATTTTGAATCACTTGTCTCGCACTACAGTTTGTTTCCGCAAAACTTAAAAAAGAGTCTGATAAATATTCAATATTTATATTCTTCGCAGTCCTATCTGCTCCTATCCACTCAGCGCTTAACATATCCGGAACTTCGTTGTCGATAACATTAATCACATTTAGTTCTGTTAACAACGCACGAATTCTAAATTTCCGGACACTATATGTTTCACCATCAAATGGTTTAATGTTCCTTTCCATGTTTACACCTTCCATTGTTTCTTTAATATTTATAACAGCTATACACTAAATCACACTAATTATTACACTACGGATTATTATGCTAAGATACACACACTGATATTTATATACATATATGTACACAGCAATTATAGTTTTGCTTTTCAATTCTTTTTTTTTATTCCACACTATACGCAGATAGCACAAAAAACTAAACTGGGCCCATAACCTATTGGAAATAGGTGGTGGAATAAAAAAACAATTTGGACGATATAACTTTTAATTAAGCTTTATTAGAAACACTTGAAAGGCACGTTTGCACGGTTTGAAAGAAACATATGGAATGAAAAGGTCAGTGACGAAAAATTCGTCCCGTACCCTCAGACCCAATCGGTCCTCTACTTTGTCTAAACTAGCCAAGGAAGGGACACAGCTGCACCCTCTTGACTTGTATCTCAAAACGTGAAACGCAACACACGCGTCGATGGTTTTTGTCATATAACATTAATTAAATAAGCAAAATACGTTATACTCATAAGATGGACAGATACTTTTGTAAGTAACTATGGTATAAGATATTTGTTTCGATATTCTGTAACGCAATAAGAGAAACGAACTAGAAATTCTCTATGTATATTTTATATTTCTAATATTAATTATTATAATTATTTAAATAATAGTAATAAATATTTTAAATATACACAGTATATCGGAAAAATAACGAAACTTTTTAAATTAAAAGAAGAAAATTAGTTATTTTGCCAAAATTATTTTCTTTTATTCAAAATACATCCCTTCTGCATCAATACACCGTTGGGCACGTTCGAGTAGTGCCAGCATAGATTCTTTTATATCATTTTGCGGAATCGCCCCAATGACTCTTGTCACCGCGCCTTGGACTTGTGTAACAATGTCATAAAACGTTCCTTTCATGGCCAGTTTGAGTTTTGGAATTAGGAAATAATCATATGAAGATAAGTCCGGCGAATACGGAAGATGTTCGAGCACACAGATCTGTTTTTTTCACAAAAAATTCACGAACAGCAACAGTCCTGTGCGATGGTGCATTATCATGCAACAAAAACCAACTTCCTGGCGCTCGATATTCGGGCCTCACTCGAACGATTTTTTCCCAGAAACGCTCCATAACGCAAAAATAATATTCACCATTGACATTTTGACCCTGTGGAACGAACTCCCGAAGTATAATACCTTTAGAATCATAAAAACAGGTCAACATTGTCTTCTCTCGTGACCTCTGGAATCGCAGTTTTTTCGATTTCGGAGAGTCTGGGGACTTCCACGTTCCACTTTGGCGCTTTGTTTGCGGATCGTACTTGAAGCACCAAGTCTCGTCTCCAGTCACAATCGATTCCAGGAATGTGCAGTTCTGTCTGGCTGTTTTAATAAGATCCTTGCAATGTTCAACGCGAGCAATCTGTTGGTCCTCATTTAATGCGTGAGGAACAAATCGAGCAGAGACTTTCCGTTTCTTTAAGTCCTTTGTCAAAATTTCGTGAATCATGTCGTTAGTCGTATTTAATACCTCTGTCACCCATCTCACACTTGAAGTCGCATCGTAGGTAATCATTTCACGCACTTTTTCCACCAACTCATCGTGATTTTTCTTTTTTGGCCGGCCTGGCTTTGGGTCATCTTCCAAAGCATCACGACCGTCCTGGAATCGTTTATACCATTCGAACACACGTGTATGGGATAAACAATCATCACCATAAACTTTTTTCATCAATTCAAATGTTTCTGTAAAAGTTTTCCCGAGCTTAAAACAAAATTTAATATTTGCTCTTTGTTCCATTGTGTTTCTGCGAGGAAGTGACAAAAGGTACTGCCACTTTAACCGTTATAATTTAACAATCCGCTAGTCGATTCCAATAATGATGCTTTTGTTTTGTAGAGGAAATATACAGCTTTCAGGTCACATGTTGTTTCAATAGATGGCATTAGCAGTTTTCATTAAATTTAAAAAGTTCCGTTATTTTTCCGACATACTGTGTACGTATAAACAATACAATAATTTCTGGTTATAGATCAACAGTATTACAAAAATAAAAGCAAAATTATGATCGCGAGTGACAATGCAATGCCACCATTTTAACATAAAATTGTAAAACAGACAAATTGTTTCCAGAGTTGGGCAATTTTTAATTATATGGTAGATTTACGCATAAACTAGCTTTTACTCGCGATTTTGCTCGTTTAAATATTAATCTCGATAATAGATTCTAATTTATAAAGAAATTTATGAATGTAATGTAATATACATAGTCATTACTTTACGAATCAATCTAAAATTTGTATTTGTGAACAAAATTTGCCCAACTCTGACTGCATCTTGTATTAAATACCTAGTGTGACGATCGATCCTCCTGAAAGTCCACAATTTTCTAAATTTAGCACGTGTAAATGGCAGACTACCCGCAATGCTCGACTTAAAATGTTCATATGCTGTTCGTTAAGCGTCACATCCTTAGCTTCGAAATGTTTCAAACATTGACTCTAAAAAATAAATGGTAGCATTACTTAGTAACATATAAATAAAGTATTTTAAACGCTCGTATCTATTACTAATATTTATATTCTTGCAAACTGTAACATTACTCCGACGACATACGTAATATAACTCAATGCAAGGTTTAACATGGTAACACAACTGGAATTATAAATTACATTGAAGTAATTAGTCGCTTCTATTACAATGAATTCGTTGAGTGCAAAAGGTAAAACCATCACAAGTAGGGCAAATCTTTTCACGAACAATGAATCAAAATTTTAGGCTCATATTTTAACTAACTTTTTCACCTGTAACTTTATTATGTGATGTCGATTTAAAAAATCCTTCAATCAATTCCAATTTACAAATTATAGAAATAGGACGTAACGAGAAGTTGATCCATTTACAGTCAACATTTTTTTTCAAAATTTGTATAAAATTCCATAGATTTTAGTTGTCTTTCAACGGATTTAATCGAAACATATTTTTAAAATAACAAAAATATAATAAACATATATTACCGCTTAAAGGCATAACTTCAAGGTATGCGATAAATGACAACATGAAAAAAGTGGTGGAGTTAAATATGTGTGATCCTCAAATGGGAACCATGGCAGCTAATCTTTATTTGTTTATTCTTTATTCGCGAATAAAATTTGCCCAACTCGATCACCAACTTGACGAACAAATATTTTAAAGATTCCATATTTAAAGTTACAGAGCGCATAAATATTATTTGTTAACAATTTATATTGACTTTGATTAATATAGCAATAGGGTCATTTTACGCGAAATCGAACACCTTTTGAAGTAAGTTTTCAAATTATGTTCTACTTTTGGATATCTTTAATCTAACTTTAATCGATAAATTAAACACTAAAACTCTGTTGGTATAAATGAATGAAAATGTACCATTCCAGGAATTGTTTTGGCAAGGCGTAATAATGTTTCGAAATGTTCGTTATATTCTTCAACTGAGCTGAATTTAAAATTAATGTTTTGAAAGTTTATAGTTGCCCAATCGAACAATTTCTGTGGTGTTGTGATCTGACCTCGTAATGGTTTGTGCAAACTGGCTCAAGTTGCAAGACATTTCAAAGACCCGCTAACACCATCGCATGTATTTTTGCCATATGAAGTTGCAAAAAAGTGCTATTTTGCGTTAATTTCGAAATCTTCAAAATGAAAACTAAGATTTAGTAAATTGTATTTATTGTTATACTATGAAGCAGCCCAGCCAGATAAATATGTACTTAATTGTCTTAATACCAATGCCGTGCGTTTCTATTAAAAATTCTATCAACTTCGTTCGATATAAATGAACCGCAACACTATTATATTAATGATAATCGGAAATAATGACAAAGTTGTTATGTTTTGAACAATTATCTATTTGATGATAAGCAACAAATGTATGAATTGTAGCTTGTTTATTGGGCCAATGATAGCTCTGAATTTTATCTTGAATAACAAATATATAATTTTTTTAAGAATCTCCGACGACAAACTCATGAGATTCGAAACTTTCTTTTGCAAGTATGAAATAACTAGTCTAACTTTTTAAAATGAAATCATAAATTTGTAATTCTGGTAATCGACTTTCTAATTTATTAATGAAATCTGTCGTTAAATATTCTACTAATGTTTTATTGAAATTCTTCCAATAATTAGTGCCATCAACACAGAATGAATTCTCAATTAACAATACTATTATAAATATTACTGAAATTAATTTTCATACAGCCAATTTTAAAGTGTTCGTGTTTCGAAAAAGTGTCCGCCTTTCTATGTTGTCATTTTTTTCAGACTTTTGAACATTTCCCCGGTACAAAAGCAGAGTATTTGTTTTAATCAATTGCAAAGAAAATGGTAAAAAACAATTTTTATTTAGTACTCTAGTGTCTTCATTACAAGCATCTTCATTAAAAACGCATTCTTATCCGTTTGTTTGTTCAGAAACTATAATTCTAATTAAAAAAGCACTCAACTTTACACGTTTGTAATTTCAACAATTTCCAACAATTTTTTGATACTTTTAAATATCACTAAAAACCACAACATATCCAAAATTGAACATAATTTGAAAACTTACTCCAAAAAGTGTCCGTTTTCGAGGGGAATGGCTCGATATGAATGATTTTAATTACAAAAAATAATCACATTGTAATGTAACCGTCAACATATAGTTATAGAGCCAATAAATATTATTTACTAACGACATACGTGGGTTTCGGTAAAACTGTGTGCAATCAATGTCTATAAATCTAGTATTAAATTAACAGTATTAAAATATCTTTATTAAAAAGAATATTTTGTATTGTATACCTTTCTTATGAAATTGGCGCACGCGTGCCAGCCCTGAATCAGAATGTTTGGATTCGACGAAATATTCAGGTGTCTCGCTGAATCGTAATATTCTAGCATATCGAATAATATCACAGAGCTCTGTAATTAAAAATAGAAATGTTACACAAACAGTAAAAAAAAGTAGTTTAAAAAAAATTAGTAAATAAGGAAAATTACCTCATCGTCCAAAGACGTCGCTTCTAAATCAACTTTATTAAATTGAACTCTTTTAAAAATTTCTTCCAATGGTTCACAGTGATCGGGATCCAACGTCTGTCCTTTTAAATTAAGTAATTCGCTATTCCTTTTCGATACATCTAAGGTCTGCATGGAAAATTCATATTCGTTGTGAATATTGATTTGTTTACGATCGACGTGCAGAATTTATTAATCGAAACACGAATATTTTTATTCGTTGACGCTCGATGGTAACTGTGGAGAATATTGGTAGATCGGTAATACAGAGCACCCGAGTACCGTTACAGTTCCATTTACGATTATCAGTTAATTATCAATAAGTCATGGCTGTTTTGTAATGATATTGCCACCTGTCTTATCGACTGATTTTTTTTCCTATTTTTTCAGTCTAGATTACAGATTCATGGATGTAGCACAAAGTAGAAACTTAAATTAGAATACCACCATAATGCTATAAGCTTTTGATTTTATATAAATTACTTATAATCTTATCATAATTTTATAATTTTATCTTTTCATAAATTTCACAAAAAATTATTAATTTCTCTCGACGCTGTCAGATTACAACTTTCTATAATGTTGTTAATATCTAACAGTTCATTAAACTTTTTTTTCTTAAACGCCATCTACTTTTCTGTGACGAATAACAGACAATCTCAAAAAATAGTTGTTCCTACTTAATTCAACTTGTGGAGATTCATATGGAAACTGGAAAATATTCATAGATCGGTAATACAAAGCACCTGAGCGACCGTCAGAATTCCATTTACGGTTAGTGATCTATTGTCGATAAGTTATAGCAGCCAGAGCTATTCACGGCTTTTATCTCGTTTTCTTTTTACCACAGACGAGGTATACGAGTAGACCTTATATCCAATGTATTTTTGTGGCCTATTTTTCTAGGGCTCTAGAGCCCCATTATCATTTTCGTGTCACGATTTATTATTTTTCTAAATATAAACGATTTTTATAATTTTTAGTATTATGATTAAGGGTTAATTATTATAAAGGTTACTATTTTTTAAGTGTTATTATTATTTTTCTGTTCTTAAAAATTATTGTCCTATGCTACTAAGACTTAATTGTTTTGTTAATTACCCCGTTTTGCAATTTAATCATGTTATATTCTATGTATATACTTATACATGTTTTCAAATAAATTATGAAAAATATGTACAAATGATCTACAAATTTATTAATTGTTAGTTGTAAGTTGATTATTAAATGTTAGCTCCTATTACATATGTACATATGGACAAGGTATCCACGCTAAAGTGTGACAGTCGCAATATTCCAATAACTATTGATGATAATGAAAAGTAAGAAACATGGGAAGTATTAACCATCCAAATTATTAACGACACTATACTCGAGCCTGCCGTTCCGAGCTATACCCTTGCTATCCGTTTCAAGAAATAGAGTCAAACAGCGCAACAATAGGACCGCTTTTATGAGTTACCAGCTTACCACTCAAGTTGAGACGTCTCCGCTGAAAATCAGTCAATTTCTAAGTGTTATGTCTAGAAAACTAATAAATATCGGGTGAATACATTGCAGCTTAATGAATTCGTCTTGATCTTTTAAATTAATAACATAAACAAAATTTTCGTTTACGCCAAAATAGAGATCCCATTTTAACCTGCAATTTACATATAAACAATTTTTTCGTATCATCAATAGTTATTGAAATATCGCGACTATCACACTTTAGCGTGGACACCCTGTATAGAGTGCGTAACAAAAAGTTGTACGCACACACTTTTTTTCGATTATCCAACGAACGAGTTGTGATCCATGGATGAAACTTTTATACAATAAAGAGCATTTAAAAACACACATTCTTATTATTTGTATCATCAAAATTGGAGCACACGTTCCCGAGTTGTGCAACTGGAACAGTTTTCAGCTGGAACGAAAAGTTGTACGCACTTAATAAAACATTGTTGTAGAATCAGACTGGAAATAGACGAACGTCTTTTGTCGTTACAATATCGTCACTCGTCTTTTGTCGTTGCGATATCGTCGCTCGTAGTTCTGATTCTACAACAATGGGAAGTGGTGCGAAATTATCCGTGGAGGAGCAGAACCGTCCATGGGAAATGTACGGTCGTGGACAGTCAATGAGACAAATTGGAAGAGAACTCGGTAGATCTGATGGAATAATTAGAAACCTCATCAGATTACGTGAAAATTATGGAAAGAAGAAGTCTCCAGAGCGTCCGAGAAAGTTGGATGAGCGATCACTTCGGAGGATCAAGAAGCTGGCCACGGACGGGAAGATGTCTACACGCCGGATTTCCGCGGAACTGAAGAACGAGGTATCCCATACAACTATTAGAAGAAGATTAGTTGAAGATCCCAATATCAAATATCGGAAAATCACCAGAAAACCAAGAATGAAACCGCATCATAAAGAAGCCAGGTTGGAGTTCGCACGGAAATACCATGCGTGGACGTCCGAATGGAATAATGTGTGGTGGTCCGATGAAAAGAAGTTCAATCTTGATGGTCCTGATAGATGGGATTACTGCTGGCAGGATACCAGGAAGGAACAACCCCGGAAGGTCAGACGGCAAGCCGGCGGAGGAAGTGTTATGATTTGGGCCGCGTTCAAGCTCGGGAAGAAATCGTGGATGGCATTTCTAAGCGGTCGACAGGCTTCGAAGGACTACATTCGCACTCTTGAAGTATTCCTTTTGCCTCATATGGATGATGGAGATACTTTTCAGCAAGATAATGCCGCTATTCACCGTTCGAAAGAGACACAAAAGTTTTTCGCGGACCGGAATATCGCGGTTTTGGAGTGGCCGGCTATAAGTCCGGACCTGAATATTATTGAGAATGTTTGGGGAATTATAGCCAGAGATGTGTATAAGGATCATCGACAATTCGAAACCATTGCTGACCTACAGGACGCAATAATCGACGCTTGGAACGTGATCACACCGGAAGTCCTCAGAAGACTGATCCAAAGTGTTCCGAGGAGACTCCTTTTAGTATTAGAAAATAAAGGAGGTCCCATTAATTATTAAAACACTGTATCCATCAATAAAATGCGTTTCATGTATTACTAAATTAATTTTTTATTAAGTGCGTACAACTTTTCGTTCCAGCTGAAAACTGTTCCGGCTGCACAACTCGGGAACGTGTGCTCCAATTTGGATGATACAAATAATAAGAATGTGTGTTTTTAAATGCTCTTTATTGTATAAAAGTTTCATCCATGGATCACAACTCGTTCGTTAGATAATCGAAAAAAAGTGGGTGCGTACAACTTTTTGTTGCGCACTGTAAGTACTGGAACAAGACCAGATATAAGTTACAGTGTAAACTATCTGAGCCGATTTCAGAATTGTTATGATAATAGCCATTATAAATATGCGTTAAGGATTTTGAAATATTTATGTTTGACTAAAGATTTAATACTGAATTTTAAGAAAAATTTAAATGATATAATAGACTGTTTTGTTGATGCGGATTGGGCAGGAGATTCTATAGATAGGAAATCCACGACTGGCTATGTCATAAGAATGTTTGGTAATATAAAAACAAGGAAGTGTGACCAAATCTTCTACGAGTGCAGAGTATGTAGCCCTATCTGAGTCAGTGAGTGAAGTTTTAGTATTAAGAGATTTATTAAAAAACTTTGATATTAAGATGAAAGGCCCAATTAAGATTTATGAAGATAATATGACAGCAGTAGAAATTAGCCATTTGGGAAACTTTACAAAGAAATCAAAGTACATAGAAGTACACTATCACTTTGTAAATGAAAATTATATGTATAGCAGGTAAGATTGATATCGAAAAAATAGATTCTAAAGGAAATATTGCTGATATATTCACCAAATCTTTAGGTAGAAATAAGTTTGAATATTTTAGAAACAAGTTGAGTTTGTTTTGAGGAGAATTTACAGTGTTTGAGTTATAACCTAGATTATTATATTAGTTTAAAGTTGTATTTTAAATTTAAGAAGGTGTGTTGAGAGTGGAAGTATATGTAAATATGAAAATACGGCTTAAGAGACGAGTGCGCATTTGCACGGGACGGGGAGTGGGGGGACGGGCTACAAGCGATGATCGGAAAGAGAACGGACAGTAGAGCACGTGTAAGACACTACTTCGGACACCACAAATGTAATCTATAATGTAATTTAATAAAGATAATATTAAACCGTGAGAAGAAAGAGAATAAATTAATCAATTAATCTTAACAATTATAGTCAAAGTCTAAACAGACTTTGAGATGAGAACATAAAACTTAAATGTAAAGTTTCATTTAAATTCATTCAGTCATTTATACTCAATCGTATTAATAATATAGATATGCACGTTCATACATAAGAAAAATAAAAAAAAAATTTGTTTAAATATCGCATTAATTCGAAATATTCGAACATAGAATAAAATTCGTTAAACAGTGTTGTTTTCAAGGTACGTAACCGACCAGAGGATTTTTGGTCGCCACGTCCGTTACGCGACACAATATAAACTAGAAAAACCACGATTCTCAGGTTTGTTCTGAAAGTCACACGATCGAACAAGCGGTTCAACGCACGAGTATAGAGAAGGTACGATTATATGTCGGACAGAGACGTATGATAAAAACGACGGCAGCGCCGCTAGGCGGAGGTTCCTCCGCCTAAGCCTACATTTTAGACTGTCCGTGCTCGTCCATCACTCTTAATCTGAATTTTGCCGGGAGCACATCGGTAATCGATCACGCTCCGCAGAATTCCCACTAATCTCCGAATAGTTCAGAATTATTCGAATTTTCGTCGAGGTACCTGGTAAAATTATTAGCTGATTCTTGTCACGAGCTAATCGATATTCGATCTCGCTCATTGCGACATAACCAAGAAATAAGCGTCGAGGTTCTTCGAGCTTTTTCAGGGACAGACAACGACACGCGATAGTTTTACTGGTCGAGATTGCATAGGCAAACTCCTATCAGCCAACTACTCGCAATTCCGTTCTGTCGGATCGGCTATTTTAATCTGTGGGTCCTGAGTACGACCTGATTAAAAGGAACGACTGCGGCAACTCCTTGGGATCATCGAGATTCCATTACAGCAGTGAACTACGGTTCACGTCAGCCTGACTTGTCCACGAACTGCTGCAAACAG